TGATTTATTATTGTAGATTAGTTGTATCCTAGAATCAATGACTGTAGTGTAGTCAACAGTTTGATGATACTGTTTCTCGTATGATTTATTAATGTAGATTAGTTGTATCCTGGAATAAATGACTGTAGTGTAGTCAACAGTTTGATGATACTGTGTCTTTTATGATTTATTAATGTAGATTAGTTGTATCCTGGAATAAATTATTGTAGTGTAGTCAACAGTTTGATGATACTGTGTCTCTTATGATTTATTGTTGTAAATTAGTTGTATCCTAGAATCAATGACTGTAGTGTGGTCAACAGTTTGATGATACTGTGTCTCTTATGATTTATTATTGTAGATTAGTTGTATCCTAGAATCAATGACAGTAGTGTAGTCAACAGTTTGATGATACTGTGTCTCTTATGATTTATTAATGTAGATTAGTTGTATCCTGGAATAAATTATTGTAGTGTAGTCAACAGTTTGATGATACTGTGTCTCTTATGATTTATTGTTGTAGATTAGTTGTATCCTAGAATCAATGACTGTAGTGTAGTCAACAGTTTGATGATACTGCATCTCTCATGATTTATTATTGTAGCTTAGTTGTGTCCTATAATCAATTATTGTAGTGTAGTCAACAGTGGGATGATACTGTTTCTCATATGATTTATTATTGTAGTGTAGTCAACAGTGGGATGATACTGTTTCTCATATGATTTATTATTGTAGAGTAGTCAACAGTTGGATGATACTGTTTCTCGTATGATTTATTATTGTAGATTAGTTGTATCCTATAATCAATTACTGTAGTGTAGTCAACAGTATAAATAATTAAATACAAATAAAATAAACCTTACATGAAAGAATAACAGTTTTAGAGGGGCCAAACATTGTATCTGTTAATAGAAGAACGTTTGAATGGGAAGAGATTCCTAAAATTTCCTGTAAATAAAGTTATCACATTTCTCTTACATTTGATACAATATGGTCAGATTTAACTTTTGAAAAATGTTTTTAAAAAATTGTTTTCTATGATCTATAAAAATCGTCACGTCATCCCATTTAATAAAAAAACATTACTCACACACGTAATGTGCGTTCATACATATTATCTTCATTATCTTTTATAAGTAGTCGAGTTTTCAAACTTTAATTACAATCCTTTATTATTTTTATTCGTGTTTCTAACAAGCTTCCCGAAATAGAATTTGCTAGCCCAGCAGATTTATTGATTTTTCGCATTGTATTATTTGCTGAGTTTTGCTATTATCTATTGACTAGTTCAACTAGTGCAGTCAACGTCACAGTTCCACCACCAGAGTTCGGAATTCTAAGAGGAGTTATTATTGGTCAGCGTTTTTTCGTTCGCCGGCCATTCATTTGTTCTCGCAGATGGTGTGTGTACTAATATTAAAAACAGTATCAAAGTTACTGAAACTTTCCGTATTGTTGTTAATTTGTAATTCTTGAACAATTTGGAAGCAAATGCTGGGATATGCATTAATTATTCATTGATGCACGGCATTTAAAAGTCTCGTGACCATCTAGTCATTAAATTAACTTGCATTTTTGTTTTCCGATCTTCATAATCAATCCTTCGTTATAACACTTTAAAGCACGTGTTTAGGCTAACAGTAGTGGGCCCGGCATGACCAAGTGGCTATGGCGCTCGACTCGCATTGTAAGGAGCTCTGGTATTGCGAGAAAGGCCTTTTCGTCACTGGATATGGCAGGTATAATGCGGTTGACAAATTATAACATATTTTCCTTTGCTTTCACTCATGGATTCTTAGAATTACTTAGAGCGCGTGTTTGCCCTGTGATAGAGATCCGGATTTTGGAGTTGGAAGTGTGCTATAAGAGTGACAGTCAATCCTTTAGTGTGGATAATGGGTGGTAGTGGGCTGCTTACTAGTTGCCTTCCATCTAGTCAGAAGTTTGTTACTAAGCACAAAGATATAGAATGGGCTATCTTCTGTGCCTACCGCAGGTATCTTAACCAGATTCTTATGGTTAAAAGCTCTCAGATTTGCCACTGAGCCGCAGATGAACATTTCTTGAATAAGAAAATCTGTTAAAGTTTCACTGAACTTGCATACAAGCTATGAAAACAACGTGGATAATTAAGATATCCCAGAATTATTAAAGCATCATTCGAACAAACCTGTTTAAAATAAATTAAACAGTTACTGGTGTGTGACGAATGTCTTGTAATTCATGCCTCTGGCCCAGTTATATAGCTATAACGTTATTCAACCTTCATATATATCTGTGTTTGATTTCGTGTGAAGCTACTCAAGAGCTGCTTGCGTTAGCCATCTTTAATTTCTGAAGTCACAAACTAGAGGGAATTCATCTACTCAACCATACACACCGCCAACGCTCGGGATACTCTTGTAAGACCAAATAGTGGAATTTGACCGTCACTCTTCTGACTCACTCACGCCGTCAAAGTGCGGAACTCGAAGTTCGCCATTAACTAGTGAGCTGCAATAAGCCCCTACCCACGGTACTTAGCCACAAGACCAGTTTTACCATGCAGAATACAACGTACGCCTTGCTTTCTTCCGGAAGTTAACCGTTGGTCTGCACATCGAATTTTACAACACTGTATCAACTGGTTTCCTGCATGCAGTCGTCTGAACAGCGGAAGTGATGTTTGAAACACCTGGTATATACAATTTATCATTTAGATAAAATTAGTCATGGCGATGAAATCAGTCACTATTAGTGCACGCTATTATTTTTCACGATTATGTAGCATGACGTGCATCACAAAGAAATAATAACTCAGTTCGTATGCTGGGCCGCTTAGAAAATAAGTCTAGTCGGTCACTGTGAAAATGAATTTCTTCTCATCTGTTTCAGTATTGTTTGTCTTTATAAGATAATTGTTTGTCTTTATAAGATGAATTGTTTGTCTTTATAAAATTAATTGTTCGTCTTTATAAGATGAATTGTTTGTCTTTATAAAATTAATTGTTCGTCTTTATAAGATGAATTGTTTGTTTTATAAGATGAATTGTTTGTCTTTATAAGATGAATTGTTTGTTTTTATAAGAGGAATTGTTCTGCTTTTATAAGATTAATTGTTTGTCTTTATAAAATTAATTGTTCGTCTTTATAAGGTGAATTGTTTGTTTTATAAGATGAATTGTTTGTTTTATAAGATGAATTGTTTGTCTTTATAAGATGAATTGTTTGTTTTTATAAGATGAATTGTTTGTCTTTATAATATGAATTGTTTGTCTTTATAAGATGAATTGTTTGTCTTTATAAGATGAATTGTTTGTTTTATAAGATGAATTGTTTGTCTTTATAAGATGAATTGTTTGTCTATAAGATGAATTGTTTGTCTTAATTAAGATGAATTACTAGTTTCATCTCGTTCTATAAAAATACTTCAATTATTTTTTTTCTTCATCTTTTACCAGAACTATTAACACAGAGCTTTAATTAAACCTTTTACAACTGGTTATTTCATTATTAACTCATCTTAAGTTGACGAATAAAGTAATAGTTGAATTATCATAATGTGCATTTTCCTATAAGTTAACTTGTAATGGTAAAATATTCAAACCAGTCCCCAAAGTAACTTTAAGTTCGTTAATTAATTTAGTTGATTGGCGGACTTAATCCATTTTCTTTCTTAGCCGTCCCTAATTTAGCAGTGAAAGACTAAAGGGAAGGCAGCTAGTCATCACCACCCACCGCCAACTCTTAGGCTACTCTTTTTACCCACGAATAGTGGGAGTAATCGTCACATTATAACGCTCCCACGATCATGTTTGGTGGGATTCGAACCCGCGACCCTCAGATTGCGAGTGGAGATCCCTAACAACCTGAACATTTCAAACTTTTCGAACAAATATAATGAACACGATGATAAAAAAAACGAAATAAGGAAGTCTGTATACTTTGAGAAAACGTTAAAAACGGATTAGAATACGTCAGTGAATTATAATGTTTTATAACTGGTTTGTAATAATGAACATTTCAGGAAAACCACGATGAAAAAAACAATTGCCCCAAAATGGTATTAGTCATATTACAATAATAATACACTTGGTTTTTGTCACATTTATTAATATTTTAATTATAATGGTTTGTTTTTAATTACCATAATTATAGTTATTGTTGTTTTTGATTATGGTGGCATTTATTAATACTATAATGGTTTGTTACCGCCTAACATTATTACAGTAGTTATATTTATTCATCATGGTTACAATTACCATTCGTTAACCATGGTCATTATACAAGTTTTGTTGGTTTTTTTTTTTTTTTACAAATAGGCTTACGTTTTACTTGAGTAAGGAAGCACATAATTATAATATGTATATAGATTGGCAAATAACGATTTGTAAGCATTATGAAATGATTTGTTTATGGTGGAACATACTACATGTTTCGACAGAACGTTGATCTTCAGGTATCAATCTGAGCTGAATAAGACAGATCAATGTCCTATTGAAACATGTAGTTTGTTCCACCATAAATAAATCACTTCATTATGTTTATAAATCGTCGTTTGCTAATAATTATTAGGCCTAAGTTTTGTTTTTGTTCGGTAGTAACATGTGCGAAAAGCCAACCTTACTAATAATTAGATGTTTTAGTTTAATTTAGCGTAGTCAAAAAAATGTTTTGTATTTGCATTTTTTATACTGTTCTACTCAATTTATTTCTCTTTTTTATTTTACTTTAGAGTCCGGGAAATGTCAAAGACGCAATTTCAAAACTTGGGGGTGATTTTGGTTCTCATCTTCAAGTCAAATCGTCTCGCTCCTCATTTGCTTTGACAACCTTATCAACAAAACTAGGCAGAATCAACTGTATAAACCCCTTAGACAAATCCTCCAGTTTACCAAGTATCGGATTACCAAAGGAATTCACAAGCAAGCATTACTTTTCTGAGAAAAAAGACAACGTTATTAATAAAATTACCGGAAATAATTACGTTACTTGTAGTACAGATACTGAATCCTCTTTACCGTTACTTTCCAATAAAAGCAATGCCAGACACGGGTCCTATAGCACCAACCAGGATGATAATCAAGAATGGAACAACAAAAAAATTGAAAGTCCTAGTCAAGTACAAATTCAAAAGAGCAAGGGAAATAGTGCCAAAAGTACGTCCTCTTCTTGTAGTAAAGAACGCCTACCAACCCCAAAACGTCACGTAGTTCTTAATAACGAACACAATCATCAGATTATACGAGTGGATCCTTATGGCAGACAACTACCTTTAACCCCACAAGGTAATATTAATTTATGGTATTTTAAGAAATGTACATCCTTTAAAAAATAAAAGAAATACGGTTTAACTATTAAGTCCTGTTGTGAAATGGTCAATTTCTGATTGGTTCAATATAGTCTTAAATAGATATTGAAAAAAAACTAATCTCATAAGTTCTTTTATAAAACAATTCATGGTCCAGTAATAAATATTAACGCAGTTTTATATTGAAATCCTGAAACATGTTTAGATTAGGGAGGTGATAAAAATTGTCCCAGTAAGTATAGACCCATTAGTCTTAAATCAGTTGTGGGAAAAGTTTTGGAGAGTTTGACAAAAGATGTTTTGTAAAGTCATTTAATAAAGTTTAGAATTTAATGGATAGTCAACATAGTTTCATTAAGGGAAAATATTGCTTTATAAATATTTTGACATTCTTTGAAAAGGTTACTGCTTATGTAGATGAGGGTAATTGTATATATATATATATATATATTTGGTGTATCTGGATTTTCAGAAAGCATGTGACAAGGTGCCACATAAAAGGCTTGTAAAATATATATCTATAGGTGTAGGGGATAAATTAGAAAATTGGATAGAAGAGTGGCTGGATGGAAAAAAGCAGAGGGTTTTTACAAATGGAGTTCAGTCAAACTTGATTAATGCTACAAGTAGGGTACCTTAGGGCTCAGTCTTAGGACTTTTGCTCCTTTTGAGTTACATCAATGACATAGATGAAGGGATAGTCAATAAATTACTTAAATTTGTAGATGATATTAAGGTCTTGGGTGTTGCTAGCTGTGAAGAGGATGCTGCTGATTTACAAAAGGATTTAGATAATTTAGAGAGTTGGGCAAATAAATGACAAATGGGTTTTAGTTATAATAAATGCAAGATAATGCATGTGGGTTATCGTAGTTTGAATTATAAGTATAATTTGGATGGGAATAACCTTAATAGTGCCATGAAAGAAAGGGATCTTGGTGTAATAGTTGATCTGTCTCTAAAGCTATCCAAGCAGTGTGTTGTTGTTGCTAGTGGTAAGGCAAATAGGATTTTAGGTTGTATCTACAGAAATATTGAATACAAGTCTAAAGATATTATAATTTCATTGTACAGGTCACTGGTTAGGCCACATTTGGAATATTGTGTCTAGTCTTAGGCTCTTTATCTTAGGAAATACATTGACTTCTTGAAAAGGATTCATAGAAGGTTACTAGAGTAGTGCCTGGGATGGAGGGGTTGTCATACGAGGAGAGGTTGAAATCTTTCAAATTGTTGAAAAAGAAAAGTTGGGGGGGGGGGGCTCTGATTGAGGTGTTTAAGATTGTAAAGGAAATTGATAATGTTGATATATTATCTTTTTTTCATACTTAACAGTGAGAATAGTAGGACTGTGAGACACAGATATACATTTTGGCAGGATAGGAGTCATTTTCAGCTAAGACAGTTATATTTTTCTAACAGGGTGGTTGGCCCTTGAAATGGGTTGCCTTCGGATGTTGCGGAGGCAGTAAATTTAAGTGAGTTTAGAAAAAGCTTGATAAGTATATGAATGATAAAAGCTGACTTTAAGATTTTTAAAAAATTTATTTATTAATAGTTTTAGTTTAGTTTAGAGAATGGAACAGCCGAGATGGACCAGCAGATCTCATGTTGTCCCAAAATGTTATGTTAACTCTTTATATACTGTGATGTCCCTCCTGACTCAGTCTGTAATTGAATCCGGTTTCTGGATCCGAAGGTGAGAAAGGTATGAAATAAAGATAAGTATTTGGTGTAAGGAAGAAACGAAAAGGTCAAGTCAGGAAAAATGTTTGACAATAACACACAAAAAAAACCAGAGCAGTGGTTCCGAACCTGAGGTCCGCGTAGTTAATACCAATACCATCTCATTAAACAAGTGTTTCAATACTGATGTTCTTTTTAATTGCACACTCAGTTATATATGTCTTTTA